GAAGGAAAACTAACTGATGGCTCTTTTCTCCAATCTCCTGGATGTCTTGGGAAACGATGTCTTTGTCCCGCCGGAAACAAGTTCACTGAAGTGGGGGAGTCCTCTACAACCTACAAATGAAGAGTAATGCTGGGAGAGCTGAGACACATGCTGGTGACCTCAACAACTGCAAGACACCCTTGTCCCTGATTCTCAGCCACTTCTGCCATTGATCTCAAGACACAGTAGTCTGAACCAGAGTGTGACCCACACCCCACCAACGAAGTGAGAAGAAGGTGCAAAAGGCGCACCTCCAGGAACAGCAGCCCCTCAGGTGTAGAAAGTGTGTCTACAAAAACCACTCTACTGTGGTTAGCACATCCTGCTGCTAATGAGGATGCACACAGAAGCACACAAACACTGGAATATAAATTTTGATCATTTTTGTGGTCATTTTAGTGGTTATTTGGTCATTAAATTGCCTTTTTGGCCATTCCCAAAAAAATTTAATAAAGTAAAGTAAAAATAAATCATTGTTACTGTTACTGACCTGCAATGATGATTAAAAAAATATTAGGTTTCATCATTCACATATGCTAATGTGAACTTTATTGCAATTTTCCCCCAAAAGCGTAGTAATAATCTGACTGGTATTCAAAGGGTATAATTTCTGAATATGAATTATATTTTGGTTTTCATGACTAGAAGTGGTGCTAATTTAAAAAATCAAGTCAACGAAAGTAGAAAAATATTTTAATATATATTAATTTTATAGTATTTGGTAAACATAAACAGGGGGTGGCCATTTTTGGCCACGAACAAGCTGAGAGGAAGTTTTCTTGTTTTTCTGTCACTACAAAAAAACCCAAAGATGCATAAAACTCATTGATACTTTTAATTATTGCTGCGCATCTAACCTCCATCATGGTTAGAAAATAAATCAGTTTGCATGTATTATTTAGAAAAAAATGGGGATTTTATGCTTTTATCCCTTTGTAAATCATTAAAATTATGTGATTTAACTGGTATTTAGTGGGTTAAAATTATGGATTTGATTTAAATTTTGGTCTTGATGAACAGCACTGATGCTAATCTTAAAAATCAAGTCAAAAAAATAACACAAGAAATTTCAGTAGCACTGCAATTATATAAAATTGCGAGATTTGAGGTTGTCTTCCAGCTAGTGCAGCGGACAAACAAACTGGTGTTTAAAGGGTTAAAAATGTAAAAAGTAATAATTATCTTATATTTATGAAAAGAACTGAAGTTACTTAAAAGCTTTATGCAGAAGAAATGGCAAAAACATAAAAATAATAAATTAGAGACCTAATCTGTTCGTGGCCACTTTTGGCCACGAACAGCTGAAAGTGATTTTGAACAAACCCAGAGGGTTAAGAGGGATAAGCATAAAGGGAATATTGTTTTTACATTAAATAACCTTTCTACAACATTTCTAATTAGCTCAACAAACATCAGCAAACAAACAAACAATTTGAATACAGGCTGTTGCAGTGTGTTGGTAGCTAAAGTTCCTGACTTAGTTCCAGGGAGAAAAACAAAGGAGAGCTAACTTCACTCAGAAATGGTGAAAAATCTAAGAAAAGGCAAAACAGGACAGGAAGAAGAGAGGTTACATTTAAATGTAAGGGCTGCTTAGTAACACTGCAGATTTAAAAATTATATGTAATGTCATGTGAAGCATCCTGCAAAAAGTAAGTATCCTAATTTTGTGTTATTCAAATGTTGTATTACATTCTGGGTAGTTTTGTGCAGGATAAACAGGTTAGCTTACATGTGGTGATTTTTTGCTGTAAAGCACTGTGTTGTGCACTGATACACCGTGGCTATGGTGCTTATGGCTACTGTTGGGTTACATCATGTGTAGCAGAGATTAATTTACATTTAAGATGATGATGCTTAGATTCATTCAGTGAATTCAATCATTATCCTGCCTTTATACTGTTTATTATAAAGAAAGTATACAGTATATGCTGAGCCACTACAACAGATCTTAGTGTTCCCTCACTTGCACTCTCACTTTAACCCCTCATTGTTCTGTTCAGGTGTGTGTCCCACTCTACCATGTAGGCAACAGAAAATAGTATTTTTTTTAATTCTCTTTTACTGCTTGTGTCCTGGGTAACAGATTCAAGTGCATCCATTAGAATTTAGGTTTGAATAAAACTAGTATTTAGTCATGCACTGATATTATATTTGCAGAAGGTCCAGTTACCTGTGCATGAAAATAGATGAAGAATTGTCTTCACTGAGTTACTTTTTACTTTCTTGCTTTATGCCTGTGGTATTCACTTTTACTTGAGTAAAGAAGTTGACTCGGTACTTCAAAGTTTACTGGAGTATTTCTTAACACAAGTATCTGCACTATACAATGTCTGTACTATGCATGCCACCTCTGTTGAACTAGCATGCATATATAAAATAATTAGTACGAGAATTACAACACAAAATGCTCTCTCAATCTAGATTTAAGCAACACTTCAAGTAATACACAGTGTTGTCATTTAGATATTTTCCATTCATTCTGTTCCTTTGCTGTTTGCTTGTCTTACCTTTGAATCAGTTCTTGTGAGGATGAAAGTGGTTTTAAGATATAATGAAACAAGCCTGAATCAGACAATGAAACCGGACGGAGGTTAACTTTGAAAAAGACCAATGCAATGACAACATTTACCTTCTCAGGAGTGTTTTTGTTTAATAAAACTGAAAAATTACCTTCTTTGCTCCTGAGAGGACTGAGGTTTGATGGTGTGTCAGTGCTGGCTTGCACACAGTACACCTCCCGCGTCTGAGTACCACCTCCGCACATTCCTGTATGGTTTCCACGTCGGCGGTCCTGCTGGCTCAGTAGCATGTCCACCTTGCACTCTGTCCATTCTGTGGTCTTCCAGCTGTACCTGCGGATGTGTGACAACAAGAAGAATATATAGGTATATCTCCTTTGTGAATCAATAAATAAACTGATAACATGGAACAACATTTTTGCTCATCATTTTCTATGAAAGCTGCAGATACAAGCAAAAAC